GAAAGAAGAGAAAAGAAACATTAACCAGAGATGTGAAGGATACACAAGATAAAACAGAACACAATAATTGCAGATCATTTCACGTAATAGTTTAAAGTAGTTTTTGTTTAACTTATCATGTAACCAGACTGGTTACAGAGGAAATTTAGTGAGAGGAGAGAACAGAAAAATATTACTGAAATCAGCCAAATATACTTGTATATAATTGAGTGGGAAAAAAGTTTTTATCGGGTTAATGTTTATCACACAATGCATATGATCACGGATTCTGTTTACTCAGGCGTTTGAGGTAGTTTGGTGATTCCTTCCTTATTTTTGAGTAATGCAGTGCAGCGTTTATTGCTCTGCAGTCTCATTATAACACATCTTTACGCCAATTTTGAAAGTAACATATAAAAATGGAAATATTTAAAGCGGAGTTTGAGGTTATTAAAAGCGTAGGTGAAAGGAAACTATTAAAAAATTCTTGGCATGGTTATTATTATTTTCCTGTATATAATAAGGGGGGGGGGGTCTTGATGGCTTTTAAATTATTTTTTTTTATTGATTGTTTAATAAATATTGTGGTTGATGGGTGTCCACATTTCTTTCTTACTTTTCCACATGTTAACCTTTCTTCATTAATCACAGTTTTATTGCATTTTATTATTGTAGCTTTTCTGAACATTTTACATGCAAAAACCTCTAATTCTTTGTCTTGTTTTTGTGATGTTTTAATAAATTTTTTGATATTTCTCCTTTTGTGAATGCAAAATACAAACGTAGTTTATCTTTGTGTTATAAATAGTTAAGAGGTTTTAGAAAAAAACAAAGTGTAGTTTGGACGCTAATTAAAATCATGTTCAGGATGAGTTTGTCTGATCAGCTGTGCCTCGCTGCTGTTTTTAAAAGTTCTGGGTGACGTTAGAGCTCAGTGCATCAGACGGTGCTGATTTTGGTCTTTTTGCTGGACTTCTTGTAAGTCACACAAACGCTGCACAAACTAACAAGCACACGGTCGCTCTTTAATGGGCTAAAAAAACCCTCTAGACTAGTCCTTTAAAGTCCGAGCGTGGGTTCCTCCCCCTCTTCTTCCTCTTCTTCTGCCCTTTTATAGCAGCAGGTGACACATTATAACTTTCTCAAAGCTTAACCAGCCAAAACCCCCACCCCGTGACATCATCCCTGTGAGATGAGCTGACCTCTGACAGACACATACACACACACACACGCACACACACACTCACAGGGGGGTTGGGTCTTTCTCTTCTTTGTCACAACACAGTAAATAGCTGGTTTTCTTGCTCTGAATGAAGTCGTCTGTTGCAGTAATCCTGTCAAAACAAAAATGTTCTGCCTTAAGACTCTAAAATCAGGAGAAAAATCTGTTTCTCCTAATATTCAAATATTTTGTGTTTAGCTCTGATTGTAAAGCAAAAACTGGAATCCAAAACCACTACAGCCCATTAAACCAGTGTTTTGATGGTCTGTGGTGTGTAGAATAAGTTATAACATCTATAAAAAAACTGTGAATGAATAAAGAGGAGTGTATGATTGGATTAAAGTTATTAGAGAATAAACTCACCACCTTACAGCCATCCACATTAAGGCGAGAAACCAGGTGCAATAGATGTTATTCCGTCACTGGGAAACATGACAAACTCAAGCAAATGTTTATTTAAACATCTGGCTTTTTGGAGATATGAAATACATTTCTTCACCACTTTACTCCAGATTCTATTTATCATTTGATCCAAACTTTGGTCAGAATCGGTAGTTCCCTCTCTTATAGGTTTTGTGGTAGACATGTTCCAAACTTTTTATGATTTGTTGTGTATGAATTAAAGATAACCTGTCGAAACAAATGTGCCTCAGCAGGTAAAGTGGGCTGTCTGCTGACTGGAAGGTCAGCGGTTTCTCCCTCAGCTCATCCAGCCTGTAGGCTGATGTGTCTCTGTGTTTATCAAACAGAAACAAGTGCACGTATGAATGTGTGAATGAGGCATGTTGTATAAAGTGCCCTGTGTACTTGGGCAGTAGAAAAGCTCTATGCAAGAACCAATCCTCTAACAATTTAACAGACTAGTAAAATAGAGTAAACTGAAGCACACACACACACAATTATTTCTCCAGTATCTATTTAAAATGTTCCAAAATTCACCAACTGCATAAATCAGCTTATTTCAGTGACTTTGATTAGTGGAAGTGGGTCTAGACCTTGATGAGCTGCAGCTGCCTGTGTCACGATGCAGGTGCTCAAAGTTTGCAAGGCTTTGCGAGGCACGCCCTCATACCAATAAAATGGGTCAATTGGCAGTGACTCTTCACGAGTCAGGAGACAGGGTAGAGGGGGACTACCTAAAGATTCACAAACTATGGGTAGTGACAAGAAACGACCTTCATCCAAATGCTGGCTGGGCTCTCCCTTTGTGATAATACAAGGAGTTCAGTTATTCAGTGGGTACTCAGGGTAGAGCCACTACTCCAGGAGTAGGAACTAGCTGAGGTGCTTGATATTCATGGATGGATATCTTGAAAAAAGCAAACGTATTTGAGTCTTTCATTATTTGCAAGATTAGCAATGTCCACTTAAAGTGCACTTTCCTACTCAACCACAAGACGGTGTCTTCATTTGAACTCCTGTAATCTGTAAGAAATATGTAGTGAGGCTTAAAATAAGGGGGAAGATAAAAGAGTAAATGTTCTTACAGCTGCTCAGAATGGTGTGTTGCAAAAGCAGGGGAAAGATCTGCACACCATTTGTTTCCAGGTAATGCTGTAGCATCACTCTGTGTTCTTGGCTAGCTCCACGTTAGCTTGTGTGCAGATGCTGTGTTAGCAGTAGTGCAGTTGTTTCTGTCCTGACGCAGTTTTCACGTCAGCATGAAGCTGCTGTTCTTTCATGCAGTGAAAATAAAAGTGATGTTCATATCTGATAACCGAGGAGCCTGAGTGATGTGACTACTGACTTTAGCACAGTAATGTGCAGTGTTGGTCAAGTTACTTGAAAAAAGTAATCAGATTACAGTAACGCGTTACTTTTAACGCGTTACTGCCCATCTCTGGTAATGTGTTACGTTACTGCGTTACTGAAAAATGTAATGTGATTACAGTAACATGCTACTTTGCAGTGCATTTCTTCCAGACAGCATCCATTCCATTTTAACCTCCTACTGCGGCGTTGTAGAGCACCGGTGTTTTTCCTGGTCAGGACGAGGTGACCATAAGCAAATCACATGTGCTGGCATATGTCGCTCTTTGGTGTCATTTGAGCCGGGCGTGCGCGTCAGTTTTATAACCTCGAGCAGGTTCTGGGTTGCAGGCACGAGTGTCAGATCGTGTTGGGGTTTTATAGTGCCATTTGAATGAAGTATCAGTGCAGAAGCTCAGAGTTTCATAGGTTAGACAGGGAGTGATGTCACAACAGTTTGAAATGATGAGATTTTCTGGGAAGAAATTTGAAAAAAATAGTTTTTTTCTTCTTCCAGTTTAGACTTCTTCTCCTCTTTTACCAGGGCTCACGTGGAGCTTTTATCAGAGTGGTGACGCCTATTGTTCAGGGGAATGACAGAGAGTATGCATGCCCGCATACTGAACACTTGATTATTGAATTATCTGTAAATCTCAGTGCCAAAGCATTCCTTTAAATTGAACCAGATTACGTTGGAAAATGAGCTGCTGGGGATTTTATTAATAAAAGAATTCAGCTGCATATCAGCTAAAATTGTGATGTTATTAAGGCTGAATTGTGACCTATAGATCCTGACCTGCTTTAAAGCAGCTTTTAAGTCGCTCATATTCCCAAAGAAAGTGATTATTACTCATATTACCCGAGGCCAACCTCTGCAGGTCTTAAATGGCCCGCTGTGCAGAGATGGTCATGCAGCTTTAATTTCAAAGGACTAAACGAAGCCTCTGTGGGTCTCATGGTTTAGAGCTGAATGCTGTAATGATTGCAGCCTTTGCAGATTGTTTCACCGCGGGAATGAAAATGTTTATCTTTTTAAAAAATAAGATCATGCAAAGCTTAAGAAGAAAAAAAGGATAAGTCTTTTTCTTGCTTCCCTTTTGATTGTGTCGTGACCCATCACATTTATCTTGGGACCCCTTGGGGGGTCCTAATCCCCCAGTCTGGAAATCACTGCCTTAAATACTCCTTATGATCCTCGGGCTGCTCTGATGTTTATGATTCACAAGTCCAAAAAATTGGGTCATTATAAAATCACCATCATCATTAAAACATGGAAAAGAACAAAGTATATTAACCTGAATTATACCTTTTCCGATATGTACCAAGGATTTTTTTTTTAGTTTTAAAATAATTGAGGATTAATTTGGATACTTCAGGGTAATTTATATTTTAGAAAATGTTCCAGAAGGGCTGAAATTAGAATTTTTTTTAAAAACAAAACAAAACCCAACAACATGATTTGTCCTGCAGATAAATCACTGAAATGATCATTTAAAAAAAGTTTAAAATAATAAAATATATATATATTTTTTTTAAATATGGGGGATTTTAGGACCAAATGGTCCAAAATGATTCATTTGTTTGCAGGGGCCCAGAAATGAGTCACCCAGGTTTCAGCCCATTCAGAAATAGGATTTTCTTTCTTTTTTGTTTTTTTAAAGATAATTGAGGATTTGGATACTTCAGTGTAATTTTTATTTTAGAAAATGTTCCAGAAGGGCCGAAATGAGCATTTTTCTAAAAAGAACCCTTGTCCTGCAGATAAATCACAGAAATAAGAAAAAAAAAGACTAATTTGTTTGCAGGGGGTCCGCAATTACTCATCTCGAATTCAGCAGCCCATGTAAAAAACAAACAAACAAAAAATCCTGTTCATCCTTTGAGATCTGAAGGATCCGCCCTGCGGAGCCAGTACAGGCTGAAATCACACGACTCACCTCTGTTCAGATTTTTATTTACCGCCATAAATAACCAGTTTATTACACAGGGCAACATTATAAATAGATTTATGAAACACATACGAAAAACATCTCTCAGAAAAAAGTGACTTTGTTGTTGCAGCGAACACAACGTAAACGACATCAGAATAAATCGCACAAAAACTGCTAAAACATTTGCTGTGATCAGTTCTATCTTACAGGGGGCGGGGTAGTTTTAGACGGCTCGCGCGTCTGAGCGAGGTCACCAAAGACACCAAAGAAGATGAACATGTGTGAACTCGTTTCCTTGGTTACAAGAATTAAACGCTCTAAAATTTGTGCCAAACTCCTTTCAAAAAACACGGATTTCACTTCGAGGCCGAAGCGGTTTTTATGATATTCTGACAGGGCAGAAGGCCGGTTACGATCTCACGAAGAGGGCACGCACAAGTCTTACGCCGGGCTTCACCAGGCCCAATGGTACACGTGCGCCAGCTGCTGCACCCCCGGATGCTGCTCCGGGCCGTATGCGGGGTGCAGCAGGGGGGAGTAGGCGCAGAGCGGCAGGCTCAGGCCGGACCTCAGCGTCGCCTCCAGCTCGCTGGCTGCAGCCCGGCCGCACGGCTTTCCGTCCCGCACCAGCACCGGGATGGCGACCCGGCGGGCCGACAGCAGCTGCAGCGCGTCCACGCTGTGCCCGGCGCGTGCGCGCTTCATCTTGTAGCGGTGGTTCTGGAACCAGATCTTCACCTGGTTCGGCGTGAGGCGGATCAGCCCGGCCAGATGTTCCCTCTCCGGGGCAGACAGGTAGCGCTGCTGTCGGAAGCGGCGCTCGAGCTCGAAGGTCTGCGCCTTGGAGAAGAGCACGCGCCGCTTCCTGCCGCGCGCCTTCTGTTCCCGAGCGCACCGCGCGTCCCGCTCTGCGTCTGGGGACTCATCCGTAGACAGCTCCGGGGATTTGGGATCGGCGCGAGGCTCCAAGGACAGCCCGTGCACTGCAGGGAGAGAGACAGTAAAGTAATCTGATTACTCTCTGAGACTCAGTGGCAGATTGATGGCGTGACTGGTTTGAGCTCAGGTGTGTTTTTACAAACAGAACCAGCAAAGCGACTTTAAGCTTCTTAAGTTCATTGGGAGAAAAAAAGTGAAGCGATCAAAAATGTCTGAAGCTGAATTACCGACACAGCAACACAGAAGCTGAACTCGAAGTTTAGCGGATCAGATTGAAAAAAAAAACCCGATCCAGTTACTAGTAGAAACGTAAATAAATAATCATTTAACGCAGTTTTTAGGAGGCTGTTTCACGATTATTTGACGGAAATATCCATATTTTCACATATTTTCGAGATTTGGAGCAGCAAGGGCGAGGGCGGTCAGTGTGAGCGCGTGAACTTTTATAGTCATTAAAATCAAAGAAGTCTCTCACGTGAAAAGGGCAGGTTACCGGGTGTGCTGCTCCACGTGCCCAAACGCTCACCGGCGCGCTCACACAAGCCCCGGCCGCCTGACACCTCCGTGGAGGCCTCCTCGGTGTCGTCCTCCTCGGTCTCTTCGGTCCCGGACCCGCATCTCCCCGTCGAGTCGGGAAGGTCCAGGATGTCCCGCACGGAGAACCCCGTCTTTGCGTTGGCGCCAAACGGCATGGCGCGGGGAGGACGGGAGAGACGAGAAGAAGGGGAGAGTTCTGGGCTCGTATCCAGGAGGGTGAAGAGCTGCCGTTAAACAGGAGCAGGCAGCGGAGGGTTCGGGTCCATGAATGCCGTCAGAGGGGAGCCCGGAGCTGCACGGGCCGACCGGAGAGGGTTTAACAGCATGAAAAATACATGAGGGAAGACGTTCAGACAGTGTGGCACCGTCCTTTTAACGTGTGTGTGTGACGGTAAAAAGGACGGAGGCGGGTCCCGAGAGTCAAGTGGATGAGGGTGTGCAGAAAAAAAACGGAGCAGTGCATTAACAGAGACGTCGGAGCGTCAGGGAGGAGATTAATGATGGAGGATTAGAAGGAAAGAAGCGACGCATTTACACATGTTAGCGCCACTGATCCGCTTCCTGTTTACCGCAGAAAGAAAATCTCCAGTATTTCCATCAAAATGCGCTCATGGTGCCTGAACAGCAAACGGCGAGAAGAAAGACACAACAAAAATGTTTGAGGATTATTTATTTATTTATGCAGGACCATAAGTATCAACTCGGTAAACTGAAAAAATCCCTAAACCTTCTACATTAGAGCTATAAACAATCCATTATACCTAATAAAATATACAAAGCATCAAATAATTTATTCAAATAAAGAGATTAAAATGTTTTTATATTGATTAAATTACATTTAGAAAAAAATATAGTCAGAATGACTACATTAATAACTTCTCTAATTTATTGATATTCATAGATTTAACCCTTGGCCACAAAATTATTCTTTTTAATATCGTATTGG